TGAGTAGATAGAGGTGACATGTACTTTGACTCACTCCAGTGTCGACAGTGAGCAGTTAGGGGCGAAATGTGCATAGACTCACTCCAGTGTTAACAGTAAGTAGATAGAGGTGACATGTATATTGACTCACTCCAGTGTTAACAGTAAGAAGATAGAGGTAACATGTACATTGATTCACTCCAGAGTTGACAGTGAGCAGATAGATGTGACATGTACATAGACTCACTCCAGTGTTGACAGTGTGTAGATAGAGTTGACATGTACATTGACTCACTCTAGTGTTGACAGTGAGTAGATAGAGGTGACATATACATTGACTCACTCCAGTGTTGACAGTGAGTAGATGGAGTTGACATGTACATTGAATCACACCAGTGTTAACAGTCAGCAGATAGAGGTGACATGTACATTGACTCACTCCAGTGATGCCAGTGAGCAGACAAAGGTGACATGTACATAGACTCATTCCAGTGTTGGTAGTAAGCAGATAGAGGTGACATGTACATAGACTCACTCCAGTGTAGACAGTGAGCAGAAAGAGGTGACATGTACATTGACTTAATCCTCTGTTGACAGTGTAGATAGAGGTAACATGTACATTGACTCACTCCACTGTTGACAGTGTGTAGATAGTGTTCACATGTACATTTACTCACTCCAGTGTTGACAGTTAGTAGATAGATCTGACATGTACATAGACTCACTCAAGTGTTGACAGTGAGTAAATAGAGGTGACATATACATAGACTCACTCCAGTGTTGACAGTAAGTAGATAGAGTTGACATGTACATTGAATCACAACAGTGTTAACAGTCAGCAGATAGAGGTGACATGTACATTGACTCACTCCAGTGTTGCCAGTGAGCAGACAAAGGTGACATGTACATTGACTCACACCAGTGTTGACAGTGAGTAGATAGAGGTGACATGTACTTTGACTCACTCCAGTGTCGACAGTGAGCAGTTAGGGGCGAAATGTGCATAGACTCACTCCAGTGTTAACAGTAAATAGATAGAGGTGACATGTATATTGACTCACTCCAGTGTTAACAGTAAGTAGATAGAGGTAACATGTACATTGACTCACTCCAGAGTTGACAGTGAGCAGATAGATGTGACATGTACATTGACTCACTCCAGTGTTAACAGTAAGTAGATAGAGGTAACAGGTACATTGACTCACTCCAGTGTTGACAGTGAGCAGATAGAGGTGACATGTACATTGACTCACTCCACTGTTGACAGTGAGTAGATAGGAGGACATGTACATAGACTCACTCCAGTGTTGACAGTGAGTAGATAGAGATGACATGTACATAGACACACTCCAGTGTTGACAGTCAGTACATAGAGGTGACATGTACATTGACTCACACCAGTGTTGACAATGTAGATAGATGTGGCATGTACATAGACTCACTCCAGTGTTGACAGAGAGTAGATAGAGGTGACATGTACATTGACTCACACCAGTGTTGACAGTGAGTAGATAGAGGTGACATGTACATTGACTCACACCAGTGTTGACAGTGAGTAGATAGAGATGACATGTACATTGACTCACACCAGTGTTGACAGGGAATAGATAGAGGTGACATGTACATTGACTCACTCCAGTGTTGACAGTAAGTAGATAGAGGCGACATGTACACTGACTCAATCCTGTGTTCAAAGTGTAGATAGATGTGACATGTACATTGACTCACTCCACTGTTGACAGTGACTAGATAGAGGGGAAATGTACATTGACTCACTCTAGTGTTGACAGGGAATAGATAGAGGTGACATGTACATTGACTCACACCAGTGTTAACAGTAAGTAGATGGAGGTGACATGTACATTGACTCACTCCAGTGTTGCCAGTGAGTAGATAGAGGTGACATGTACATTGACTCATACCAGTGTTAACAGGAAGTAGATGGAGGTGATATGTATATTGACTCACTCCAGCGTTAACAGTGAGTAGATAGAGGTGACATGTACATTGACTCACTCCAGTGTTAACAGTAAGTAGATAGAGGTAACAGGTACATTGACTCACTCCAGTGTTGACAGTGAGCAGATAGAGGTGACATGTATATTGACTCACTCCAGTGTTAACAGTGAGTAGTTAGGGTTGACATGTACATTGACTCTCTCCGGTGTTGACGGTGAAGAGATATGGCTCACATGTACATTGATTCACTCCAGTGTTGACGGTGAACAGATAGAGGTGACATGTACATTGACTCTCTCCAGTGTTGACGGTGAGCAGATAGAGGTGACATGTACATTGACTCTCTCCAGTGTTGACGGTGAACAGATAGAGGTGACATGTACATTCACTCACTCCAGTGTTGACAGTGAATAGATAGAGGTGACATGTACATAGACTCACTCCAGTGTTGACAGTGAGTAGATAGGGGCGAAATGTGCATAGACTCACTCCAGTGTTAACAGTGCGTAGATAGAGTTGACATGTACTTTGACTCACTCCAGTGTTGACAGTAAGTAGATAGAGGTGACATGTACATTGACTCAATCCTGTGTTGACAGTTTAGATAGATGTGACATATACATAGACTCACTCCAGTGTTGACTCACTCCAGTGTTGACAGTAAGTAGATAGAGTTGACATGTATATTGACTCACTCCAGTGTTGACAGTGAGTAGATAGAGGTGACATGTACATTTACTCACTCCAGTGTTAACAGTGAGTAGATAGAGTTGACATGTACTTTGACTCAGTCCAGTGTTGACAGTAAGTAGATAGAGGCGACATGTACATTGACTCAATCCTGTGTTGACAGTGTAGATAGAGGTGACATGTACATTGACTCACTCCACTGTTGACAGTGAGTAGATAGGAGGACATGTACATAGACTCACTCCAGTGTTGACAGTGAGTAGATAGAGATGACATGTACATAGACACACTCCAGTGTTCACAGTCAGTACATAGAGGTGACATGTACATTGACTCACACCAGTGTTGACAGTGAGTAGATAGAGGTGACATGTACATTTACTCACTCCAGTGTTGACAGTTAGTAGATAGAGTTGACATGTACTTTGACTCACTCCAGTGTTGACAGTGAGTAGATAGAGGAGACATGTACATAGACTCACTCCAGTTCTTGACAGTGAGTAGATAGAGTTGACATGTACATTAACTCACTCCAGTGTTGACAGTAAGTAGATAGAGGCGACATGTACATTGACTCAATCCTGTGTTCACAGTGTAGATAGATGTGACATGTACATAGACTCACTCCAGTGTTGACAGAGAGTAGATAGAGGTGACATGTACATTGGCTCACTCCACTGTTGACAATGAGAAGAAAGAGTTGACATGTACATTGACTCACTCTAGTGCTGACAGGGAATAGAAAGAGGTGACATGTACATTGACTCACACCAGTGTTAACAGTAAGTAGATGGAGGTGACATGTACATTGACTTACTCCAGTGTTGACAGTAAGTAGATAGAGGCGACATGTACATTGACTCACTCTAGTGTTGACAGTGAGTAGATAGAGGTGACATGTACATTGACTCACTCCAGTGTTGACAGTAAGTAGATAGAGGCGACATGTACATTGACTCACTCTAGTGTTGACAGTGAGTAGATAGAGGTGACATGTACATTGACTCACACCAGTGTTGACAGGAAGTAGATGGAGGTGAGATGTACATTGACTCACTCCAATGTTGACAGTGAGTAGATAGGGGCGAAATGTGCATAGACTCACTCCAGTGTTAACAGTGAGTAGATAGAGTTGACATGTACTTTGATTCAGTCCAGTGTTGACAGTAAGTAGATAGAGGCGACATGTACATTGACTCAATCCTGTGTTGACAAGGTAGATACATGTGACATGTACATCGACTCACTCAAGTGTTGACAGAGAGTAGATAGAGTTGACATGTACATTGACTCACTCTAGTGTTGAGAGTATGTGGATGGAGGTGACATGTACATTGACTCACTCCAGTGTTGACAGTCAGTAGATAGAGGTGACATGTACATCGACTCACACCAGTGTTGACAGTATGTGGATAGAGGTGACATGTGCATAGACTCACAGCAGTGTTGACAGGGAATAGATAGAGGTGACATTTACATTGACTCACAACAGTGTTAACAGTAAATAGATGGAGGTGACATGTACATTGACTCACTCCAGTGTTGCCATTGAGTCGATAGAGGTGACACGTACATTGACTCACACCAGTGTTAACAGTAAGTAGATTGAGGTGACATGTACATTGACTCACTCCAGTGTTGACAGTCAGTAGATAGAGGTGACATGTACATTGACTCACACCAGTGTTGACAGTATGTGGATAGAGGTGACATGTGCATAGACTCACAGCAGTGTTGACAGGGAATAGATAGAGGTGACATTTACATTGACTCACAACAGTGTTAACAGTAAGTAGATGGAGGTGACATGTACATTGACTTACTTCAGTGTTGACAGTGAGTAGATAGGGGCGATATGTGCATAGACTCACTCCAGTGTTAGCAGTAAGTAGATGGAGATGTCATGTACATAGACTCACTCCAGTGTTGGCATCGAGCAGATAGAGGTGACATGTACATAGACTGACTCCAGTGTTGACAGTAAGTAGGCAGAAAGCGCACGCCTAACCCTTCATACATACAGTGTATTCATTGAACAAGCTTATGTAAAGCAATGTAAAAATAAATATCATAGTATCTTAAGAATTTGGGACAGCAATTGTACTGACATTGTCTGTCTATTATCTTATAAAGCAAACAAACGTTAACACTCCCCAGCCATACACAGAATAGTGTTGCAACTACTGGATGTAGAAGAAAGCATTTGAACAAATGTCACGTGAATAGATTATTCTTAGTTCAATACATAAACCACTCCCCTCATCGTTATATTGTTGTCATCCATACAGGAAGTGGCACACTTCGAGGTGTGAACACAGTAGATGTATGACAAAGATGTCTGGATGTGTACAGAGTTTACTTTGTGTTAGCAGACCGCTACCTCTTCTTCGCCAGCGAGGCCGGGAACCTGGAGGAGGTGAAGCGGCTCCTGACTACACTAGGGGTCAACGTCAACTATAGAGGAGAGGGGAGCAGAACACCGGTGATGGCGGCAGTAGTGAGGGGACACAGAGACGTGGTGAAGCTCCTGGTGAATAAAGGGGCCGATGTGTCACTGGTGGACAAGGACGGTAACAACATCCTTCACTACGCCTGTATGGAAGGAGATGTGGAGACGGTGAAGTGTGTGCTGTCTCGGAACATGGTAGACATCAACAGTAGAGGACAGAGGAGCAGGACACCGGTGATGTTGGCAGCAGGATGGGGAAACGGAGAGTTGGTGGAACTCCTGGTGAATGAAGGGGCTGATGTGTCACTGGTGGACGATGAAGGTTACAACATCCTTCACCTCGCCTGTATGATAGGACACTTGGAGACGCCGGAGTTTGTGCTGTCTCAGAACGTGGTGGACATCGACGCCAGGGACAAGCGGGGGCAGACGGCGGCCGACATCGCGAGACGCAAGGGACATCACCGACTATTGGATCTGCTGGTGTCCCGCGGCGCTCAGTGACGTCAGTGTCGTGTTTGTTTAGACGGTGGAGGTGGACATGTTGTTACAGACAGTGACGTGGTGTGTCGTGCACGTCGTCGTGTTATATATTCCCGGATTAAGTGAGAATGTTTGTTGCGTTTGAGGAGAAATAAAACTTGTTGAAATTTTTTTTAGATTTGTCATTTGTTGTGTTTGGAACTTCGCATGATCAGGTAAGAAAATTGTTAACTGAGTGTAAATATTGATGATGTGTGATTATGATGTACACACTGCAACTCGTAATACAATTAGTGGAGCCCAATTAGTCTGTGTAAATTATATGTCACAAGTTTATAATTAAAAATGGAACACACAACAAACTTTGTTTACATCTCGCTGAACTCTGTGACCTCAGACTGAGCCGAGGTTCGCCCAGCTGACGTGGCGCCAAATGTACAATGGCGGTGACGTCACACTGTCGATGACGTCACAGCATTGTGGTCAAGGCCCATTCGTGACCAACTCGTGTTATTACGGAAAGGGGCGACTGGTGACGGGCCGTGCACCAAAGTAACCGGCTGTTTTCTCTGCCACAGTGTAACCAAATAAAATAACATGAACTAGCACTGACTGCCTTCACCGATCAGTCATCGCCATTATTTCCATGGTACATTTCTGAATTATTCCTTGTACAAATTTTACTGTACCCATCAATTATTTTTTTGTGAAACTATGAGCACTTATTTCTATCATAGGAATATGATTCACTTGATTTCTGTTATAACGGTACGATGGGGAATCAAAACAGTGGCAATGAAACTTTCACATCGATTGCCAGTTATCGCTATCATCTTAACAGCACGTGCCACGTGATCACGCGCAACGTTTCAGTTATACAAATGACATTATTTAGTATCTCGGGCATCCAACTCAATTTTTTTATTCATCAAAATGAATAAGAAATGCTAATAATAACTTGTCTCCAAACTGACAAAACACAACATTCCCAAAATTCGATCTAGATCCTTAACACTGTATGTACTGTGGATTTCGCGATGTTTACAGGGTTATGCAGCAATAGAAACTAACAGTTTTACTCCACTAGTCCTTACAATGATAGCATATAGCAAAACCCTTAAAATTGTCAAATTTCTACTAGTCCTTACGATACCATAACTATTGGGCAGTTTGGTAAAGACTACCAGACTAGTGCCAATTCCTAACGCTGTTATGCAGTTTTAGTAATATTGCTCAAATAGGTTTGAGTATTCTATTTTGGGGAAGAAATGACAGACAGTAAACTATAAGCGAACTGAATATGCATCATTGTGTTGTTTGATTTATATTTTCTTGTGAATTAGTCACGTGACACAGCCCGCCTCTCTTTTCTAAAGTTGTATGTGAGCAAGGTGATTATTGGGGTGTTTTAAGAATATTTCCTTACAAAGTTTCCTAACGAAGACCAGGGCTCGATTCCTGACATGGGTACAATGTGTGAAGCCCATTTCTGGTGTCCCCCGCCGTGATATTGCTGGAATATTGCTAACAGCGACGTTAAACCATAATCACTCACTCACTCACTGAAGAAGAGAGGGTACTATGGTCGCTTTATGTCATCAGAAACAATGATTAAATGTGAAATTGATACCAACAAAAGGCCCCCCCTGGGGAAAATAATCAGTTGAACCAATTTTCGAACTCAGTCTTCACAAGTGTCTCTTAGATAGACGTGCAAACTTTCATCTATGTAACTTCAGTAGTTTCTCAGAAAACGTGTCCCCATTTCACGCAGTATGCACGCAGTATGCACGCAGTATGCACGCAGTATGCACGCAGTATGCACGCAGTATGCACGCAGTATGAACGCAGTGTGCACAAAGTATGCACGCAGTATGCACTGTTGAAACGCACTGGCTGGAAGTCTGTAAAACAATAAAATACACCAATTTTCGTACTCATTTGAGATCATGACCTGTAACATCAGTGTGAAAAGTTTCATTTCTCTGGGCGGCGGGCAGAAGAACGAACTCCGTTCCTATATCCTCGGCCCCACTCGGTGGTTTGTTTGTTGTTTGAGGTCGAACTCAGTAATATTCCAGCTATATGACGGCGCTCCGTAAAGAATCATGTCTGGGATAGACAATCCAGTGATTGATATCATGAGCATCGATCCACGCAATTGGGATACGATGACATGCGTCAACCAAGTCAGCGAGCCGACCACCCGATCATGTTAGTCGCCTCTTACGTAAAGCATGGGTTGCTGAAGACTTATTCTAACCCAGAATCTTCACGGGACTATTACAGTTATAAGCTAGGTTGACACCTGATAATCCGTAGCGTGGCTGCAACACACCATCCATGTTTGTCAGTTGTTATCGCCGCACTCATAAATATTCAAGCTTTATGACGGCGGTCCGTAGGTAAACCAGCCTGATCCAGGCAATCCAGTGATTATGAGCATCAATTTATGCAAATGGGGTACGATGACTACATCAAACTAGTCAGCAAGCCTCAAAACTCGAGTTTTTTCTCGTTACATCGATTATTTTCTCTTTGCTTCGATGTTTTTCTCGTAATTCGATTTTATACTCGTTATTTCATTTTTTTAGGAGAAATTTCGAATTTAAAATATAGATATCCTGCCAAAGTGGCATATCATTAGGCTTTCGTAAACACATGTGAACGTTGTGCGAGGATTGTGTTCACAGCACTGGGGCTTGTCACGCAAACATCAGTGTAGTGATTGGTGCTTCCACACTCGTACATTGGGTTACATCGGATTGGCCACCCGATGTTACTCGTATGTTTCCGGGTGTGATCGAGGCACGTGATCAACTTACCCGCCAAATCTGACAGGTGACAATCGAGAGATTGAGACTAGACAGCCGACCGAACGGACGAAAACCACAGAAGCTAATACTATCTCGATCTCCCCTTCACCAAGCTTACGCTGTAAGGTAAGCGCCTTTCCCTATCACTAGGCTTTCACAACAATGGCGCTGTGAACAGGATTAAGCCTAATTGTGATATTTGTGACAAAAGTAAATATGTCACACGACAATGGGAAAGGACTGATGAATGGGTCACGTGATGTCCTTATATAGAGCAAAACTCGCAGTATGGAGCGTTTTGAGCTTTTTCATTGGCTATTAGAGTAATACCCCAATGCTCTTTAGTTTTTATATTTATCACTTTTCGGCCGTAAAAACATACTCGTAATGTTAAATGCACAGTAATATCAAAGGGCGTTGATGTATCCACTATCCATGTGTTTTGATCATGTCAACCGCTGGAAGCTGCATGCTTTTCACCCGGCGTATTACGTGTAAATTTCATGGTGTTGATTGCAGTGTTGCTTGTACCTAGCTGTCAATCACTGTCACTGGGTGCATGGTAACGCTGAAACAACTCCCATGGCTTTGCGTGTTTTGTTTTTAATATAAATTCTGTCAGCATATATATATATGTGTAGTGTTATCATCATTTATCCATTTATACTTTTATTATATGTATATAAATTATGTATTCACATTAATGCACATTAAATAGTGGGTAAGTATTCTGCAGGTCTTTTCATCAATGCAGGGGTTTGCAGGTATGTATTCACTGTGCATTATTGTTTATACAAGGTTTTAGGATGACACTTCTGCACTCAGTCATTCGCATGACTGACAGCGGTCAACTGTCACCTAAGCCTGGGGTTATATTTATGTATATTAGGTTTTTCAATTATTTATACAAGGTGTTAGGTTGACACTTCTGCGCTCACTCACTCTTAATAAGACTGACTGACAGCGTCAACTGTCACCTAGACCTGGTGTGTTTATTACATTTGTTTATTATTTATATCCATTTGGTAAGTGTGGTAGCTTTTGAAATTGTTAAGAATATTTATTTATTTGTCATTTTTATGGTCATGTTTATGCCATGCATGAAATGTGATTGTGTTATATTAGCATAGGTCAAACGTTAGATGGTGCAAGTATTTCACCCTAGTATGGCCGGGTTTCATTTCAGTTTGCGACACCCGCTGACCGTACAGATTATTATCGGGTATGCCATCTGCTTTGTTCACTGCTTGTACGGTTCTGTTATCTTGCCTGCAGTGTTGTGTGTTCATCTATAAGTCTGATAGTGTTAGGTAAGGGTAGCTAATGCTTAGCAGCTGAGTAGTCGGTCCTTTGGGGGACGATATCGTTCACTTGGTTCTGGTTTGTGAAGCCTGTAAGTCCGGTTGCTGACTATATGCGTCCACTTTTATGCTCTGTCCTTCATACGAACGGCATCATTCTACTGGTCAGCAGTCAGTATATTCGGCAAAGTGGAGCATTCTTCACGATCAACTGGCGCTCTATCCTTCTTCAGACGATGGGCTTCGCAGTCGGCTGCCACTGCCTCACCCTATTAGCAACATGTAGCACAATGTTGTTTGGGTTGGTCTCAGTTCTCTGCTGGTGGGGGGTAGGGTTGATGGTATATCTTGGGTTTTCTCTGCCGCCATGGTCTCTCTAGCCCAGGTGTAATCCGCCATGCAGGTTGCAGCTTCCATTCATCCATTCCATTTGACATGAACATGATTTGTCATATCCATAATATTGACATCTCTTTACTTAGGTTAGTTTAATGTTATACAGCTACCATGTAGGTACCGAAAGGTCAGCTTCGTCTTACCTTAGGTTGTAGTACAAGAGCAAGAATACTTTAGGGAAGGCCCGGACACTTTTGTTCCTTTCCCAGTTGTATTCGTTCCAAACATGGGTTTTTTATAACTTGTACTTTCTAATTAATTATTTAAGACGGGTTTTTGGATTATTTCAGATAATCCAATCATGCCGCCAGTTTATATCAATCTGTGCTCTGAGGAAGAACTCGGGCTTATTCCTGGAATAGGGATGAAACTGGCCCGGAAGATTGTTCAGCTCCGAGAAACCTTAGGCGTACTGACGGAGGAGGATATTCGTAATCTCCCCTCTATCAGAAACCCTGAACAGGCTTTAAGCACCATCTCCTTTGCCACTGGTACTCAAACTGCAGGCTCTTGGTCTCCCGGGATGGTGGGGCAACCCGCTTCTAGGCAAGCTGCACCATCCAAAACCAAAACACCTAAATCAGCATTTGGACAATTTACTCCAGCTACGGAAAGTACCTCGAGTAGGTTGTCGCAAGCTAAAATGTTCCATCA